ATGGACACTTTTTTAAAGTGACCTGAAAAGTTATGAAGGGCCAAGACAAAAAGCTATGTAATCTCATAGCAAGTCTCTTCTGACCCATCTCAGCCTGCTTCCCTTCTTTGAATCACTGCTTTCCAAACATACCTCCTGACAGTATGTAACCCTAATTGGGAATTCCCCCCTCCCCTCCCACTGTCATTAAGGGACAACAATAATATCACTCAACAGTATCTGTCATTAAGGGACAACAATAATAGCACTCAACAGTATTGTAGGCAGTTAAAGTCACACTGACATATGCACACATGCTGCGTTTGCAACATAGGTTGTCTGGTTAGCTACTAGGGATGTGAAAGGTTAACTGGTAAGCATCACCCATACCGCGTCCGGTTAATTGGTGGGGGCCAGAGCAGCTCTCCACCCACCACACGCAGGGGTTACCCACAATGCTGCAGGCAGGGAGGCTGCTCCATCCCAGCCATGATGGGCCTCACCCCTGTCCCTGGTTTAACTGGTTAACCAATAAAACAGGATTTTACATCCCTATCCGCTACTGCCACAGAAGGTATTCTTCTGTAAGGTGAGTTCAACTCCCCATCCATGTGCAGGTGAATGTATATTATTACAGGGGGTACATGTTACTAGTCAACCTGCTATGGCAGTGCGTCCCTTTGAAGAAGCTGAGCTGGAGACATGAAACTGGACCAAGAGAAATGATGCCTGCCCGACATGCACGTTCACTTGGTTCTCTTGCATATGTGTCCTCAGAGATATGCCACACAAATATGAAACACACACACACACACACACACACACACACAAAATGTGCAATCTTTACATAAAAAGAACCTGGCTTTTCTCCATGGGGGAAAGGGAAGCAATCAAATTGCAATTCTTTAGTGCTCAGGACATTTTTAAAAAATATAAATCCTCATTCTTCAATACTACCCTCCAGTCTGCACGCTTGCTGGGCACAAAGCTAGTTAGCCTAATACAACCATCACAAAGTGCTACTAAATATATATCGGTATACATATATATTTTTTTTTAAGTAAGCAATAAGTCATCCTGCAAACCAAAGAATCCCAGATGCCTGCTCTTAATTACTACCTGCAGCTTTCTTGCTGCAGCACTGCCTTAAAAACTAGTAAATATTGCACATTGTCATTTTAAGAGCTAAGGTCAAGGGTATTCCTAACCATTATCTGCTGATGTTCCAAAAACTGAAGCAGTAACATGCCTTTGACTTGATCTGGCAAGGAGGCAGCAAATTCCCTTCTGCCAGATATTCCCTTTCTCTGAATTCATTTGGGGCAGGAGATTTTCTGGCTGAAAAGTAACTAACATCCATTTCTCCAGGGTGAAAAATTAAAAAGACATGGGATATACTGAATTATATATTTCAGTGCTGGAACAGAACAGGCTACTTTCATCTCTACATTCAGTGTGGGGTGGTCTCAAACACATACGCTTTAAAGTGAATTTAGAGCTTGCAAAAATGGTCAGGACAGCTGCACTGAAAGGAACAGCACTGAAAGCCAATAAGACTCATCTCTGTTACGAAGGTACCGCCTCTCTAGGCTCATCCCATCTTTAGCATCTCTTCTGAAACAGCTAGTAAAGGTAAGGTGACCAGACAGCAAGAGTGAAAAAAATCAGGACGGGGGTAGAGGTTACGAGGCGCTTAAACAAGACAAAGCCCCAAATATCGGGACTGTCCCTTTAAAATCAGGACATCTGGTCGCCCTAAATAAGAGTGACCGAGTGAAGTGCAGTCTTGGTCCACTCTCTAGAGGACAGGTTATCCAAGTGCATCCTCACTGCATATACATTGGTAGCAAGAGGAAATTGTTGCCTGATTGACAGTGGATGACAGAAACCCAACTGCAAAAACCTGAGACATCTCCCTAGTCTTAGGTGCCTCTTTCATATCTCAGCTCTCCCACAAAAGATTGCTTGAGGTGCATGTCCTAGCTGCTGATCTTCCCTCAGCAATGTGAAATGGCTTTCAAGAGCACTCAGATTAGCCCCCTAACGCACAGGTGTCTTTACCTGGAACATGCATGATTTTACCATACTGTGGATGCTACACGAGTCTCTGTTTTAGCCGCACACATCAAACCCATATTTTCATGAATTCCAACACTTCCTCCACTTACAAAGCAATGTTTTTAAAGTAGAACTTGAGACAACAAGCGCTGGGAGGAGGGGCTCCTCCTCCTTGGATGCTTCATTTCTGGGAAAAGCAGAGAACGTGAGTGTTCTTTCCCCTTGAGCTGCAGACCGGAACGTCAAGCAGCACCAGCCCCAAATACACAGACAACTCTCAGTCTCATGGACACAGTCCAATTCCAGGGACAGAGGTGAGGAGACTCCTACGTTCACAAAATCTGTTAATCTTTTAGAGCCAATTTGCTGGCTTTACTCAGATACCAGGCATCAGAGGTGTGTGTGTATATAACCCTTGAGAAATACCAAAGAATTTGAAACAGTTCAAGAACCCCAAAAGGATTCACGCCATCATCCATTTGTCTCCAAGCCCTGCCTGTTCACAATATGACAAGTGGCTTCTAGGATCTGAGCAGCCCACTTGTCAAAGAGTGAATTACTGTACATAGGTGCAACCCCCTCCAAACAATGGTCTGCTTTTCACCTATGCCACCATAAGTATTCCTTGAAAATTTCTCGCTGCAAAAAGGTTAGATGTTTTTACAGCATGGAACATTTGCTGTTTTGTTGAGAAGAGATGTTATCATTAGCTCCACAGCAAAGCTGCACTCAAACCCTTCTCTTGGAACTCCAGTTTCAATCATGCTTCATTTTCTTCATGCCTAGCACAGGAAGCAGAAGAACGGAGGTGTCAGAGAGGAGAGACATCGTAAAGATTGTGTTGCTGCAATCAAAATCAGTCACAAATTCAGATACAAATTCAGTCACTGCATCCCACCAGGAACTCCCTTTTAAAAGACTCCTTACCCAAGGGGGCAAAGAAAAGATTGTGGAGCCTGGACTCCAATTAAGGCATTTCCATAGGCATTCCCAATTTAGTCTTCGAGAAAAGGGAATTTTGCCAAAAGGCATTTGAACTGGGAATGGCAAAAATTACAACTGTTCACGATCTGGGTGAAAGTATGGATTGCTCATTTTAAAATGGATCACATTTACTATTATCTCTTTCCGTTGTTTCCCGATTTGTCCTTTCCAGGAGTTTGCGTGCTATGTCTTCTGCAGGTCTGGGGAAAACGGCCCAGGGGTGGAGGGTCCATCCAGTCCAGACAAAGTAAATTGCCCATGGCTGTTCAGTACTGATGGAAACTAAGAAACAAAACAGAGTTTGGTTTGTTTGTATTTCTAATTATTATTATTTTAGATTCTTTGTTCTCATGTCTCAGAATCTCTCCACAAGAAATTCTACAAAGGGCCCAACAGATTTTGGAAAAACCCATGCGGCTCCCCCCCCCCCCCCCCAACATCGCGCGCTTTCACCACCGCTTTTACAGATCATCATCTGGCAATGGAAACTTTTAATTTCCAGTGCATCCAGGTCTCCCGGAAGCCAAGCATTGCTATTGGCATAGCTACAGCAGACACAGTGATCAACTTTGTAGGTTACACTCAGACTTTAAGGCCAGGAGGGACCATCATGATTATCTAGCTGACTTCCTACAAACTGCAGGCCACAAAACCTCACCCACCCATTCCCATGACAGACACAAAACTGCTAGCTGAAATACTGGGGTTCTCATATCAGAATTTAAAAACTTCAAGTTACAGTTTATCCACCCTTTATGAGGATTTAAATGTGCCAGTGACTCATGTCTCATGCTGCAGAGGAAGATGGAAAACCCCCAGCGTCTCTGCCAATCTGATCTAGGAGCAAATCCCTTCCCAACCCCAAACATGGCAAGACCTAGCAGCCAGACAACTCAGGCAGGATTTTCTGTAGCAACTCAGAGCTCTGGCTATCTATGGGCTCATCACCAGCTGCTGGAGAAATTTGCTGCTACCAGTCGCAGATCAGTTACAGGCCATTTCAGGTAGTCTCATCATACCCTTCATAAAGTTATCAACATCAGTCTAGGAGGTTTTTGTGTTTTTTTTGCTGGACTACTCCCCTTAGAAGGCTGTCCCAGAACTTCCTCTCCTCCCATGGTTAGAAACCATCCAATGTCAATCCTGAACTTGTTGATGGCCAGTTTTTATCTAGATTGAACTGAGCCTTTATCCCGACTAACAAAATAATCACAGTTCTATGACTCTTTATTGCAAGTACCTGCACAGCAGAACACACACCCCATATTGTGCCTCAATATTTATCAATAGCAATTTAGGCCGTGGGGACTCCAACTGTTCTGCAGACACACTAACTAAACAAAAAGGTACTTGGACCATGTCATGCAAGCTGCTCCCCTCATAGTTCAAACACACAAACATGGCCAATAAAATGTCATCATTCATTTTTTGCAGAATCAAGCAGCAGGCCCAGTGCCAAAATGTGAAGCAAAAAGGACCCACTGTATAATGTGTTTTCATATTCAGTTCATGATTTTTTTTTAAACACACTGATGTGGACAGAATTGCCAGCCCAATGCAATGAAGTGGTGCAGAACCAAGGGGGTCCACACAGAAAAATTCTGGTCCAAGTTGCCCTAAGATACACAGGTTTACCCAATAAAACACTCTCCCTCTCCCAATACTATGAAGATTGCATTAGCATATTTCAAGACAGAAAGAAGTAATAAAGTCAAAGTGTTCCATCATTGTTACTGACATTGTAACATTGTTACTTATACTGACATACAATTAGGGTTAGAGAGGAACAAACTGCCACTTCTGGGGACCTCTCAACCAATGAATCTACCAGTTTGATAGTCACTGGCTATTGATGATCTTTGGGCAATGTTAAGCATTAAGTTACATCCACATTTAAATAGCTGCAGTTAACTGCAGGTTGAACTTCTGCAGTTAATTAAATGGCAAATATTTTGACATTAACACCTTGCAATAAAAATGTTAGATCAATCCAGCCCCTTTCTTTCCCCCCCCCCCCCCCCCCCCCACCCCTCCCCCCCCCAGACTGTCATATGCGGAGCTCCACCGGACTAGCACTGCTTGCCTTGTTGGTGCTTACCTGAAAAAGAGTGTTAGCACCTTGCAATCTTGCTGGACTGAGAGGAGCGACTGGACTGAGCGTACTCCAGAAATGAATGCTCGAGAGCAAGGGGCTCGGGGTCAGCAATATGGGAGTCTGAGAGGGATACAAAACACAGTCATTTATCCTGGAGGTTATTACACATAGTAATATTTAGTCATTCTTAGCACTTGTACACTTTGGCCAAACCCTAGATGCCAGCAGTTAGAGGTCTAATTCCAGATGAAAGAAACAAACAAGGAAAGGCCCGATTTTCAAATGCGTTGAGCATTTGCATCTCCCATGGTCTTCAAATTTGGATTTGTGGATACACTACACCGCTGACAAATCAGGTCATTTATTTCAGTCCCTGCTTCTATACCTAAGTGTAGGCACCTCAGTCAGAAAACGTTCTTAGCGCGGAGCTCTCTGTGAAAAATCAAGTTGCTCATGGGAGGCAGGACTTATCCTCATTTTACGGGTGAAAAGAGCGGAGGTACAAAGGAAACATGACTGGTTCCCAGCTGCTGAATCTACTTGGGATTCGGGGCACAGCATCTAAAGCTGCAATTTCCCAAGCCATCAAAAAGATGAAAGAGAATTTGGACATCCAAATGACCCAGGTTGCCCTGAAAACCTCAGCCGCAGACCAGAAATAACGAGCATCCTACTTAGCGGACATTCCACAACTACTGTGGCAAGTCCAAGCAAGAATGGCTAAGTAACACTGCAATGGTTTCTGTCCCACATCTTCAGCAATTTTGCTTCCAATACAGTGAATTTAGGGAAGCACCTAATTTCAATTTACTGATAGGAAAGAAATTAAAACCAACCAGAACAGTGCAAGAATCAAATTCAGAGCTCGTTGGATATTCTGAACCTTTTTCCTACGAGATGTTAAACTCTTGTCTTCCACAGCAGAGTAATACCCTTATTATGCTGCCTCCTTTTTGGCTTCCTACTGGCCAGCCTGAAAGAACAGTGAGGCTGCGGTTTCAACATTTCTCTGTTTAATCATCTAACACAAAAATGTTTTTCAGTCTGCTTGAAGGACACGTGCATGACATGGTCCTGGAGCAAGAACACTGGGTCACATCGACATATTTTTATCACACCTCCTATGGAAAGATTTAACAACAGAGGCAGCTGGGTCCCACAGTTTGTCTTCCTCCCGTATACCAATATTGTACATCCACAGTCAAAGAGCTGCTGGGCACTTTTCAAAGAGCATCCCAGTAACACTGGTCACGTGTGTTTCAGAACAGATTTTGGTTTTAAAGAGGCAGACACACCTCATTCCAGGAATTCAAACACAACCACTCCCACTTGCTACTGGTTTTGCAACCTGCCCTCCCTTACGATTCTCAAATACAACAGATGTTGTTCATAGAAACAAAAGAAGCGAATCAGGTTACCTGGGAAAAAAATGCTGGAGTAAGAGATGCAGTAGGGAGAGAAGGACTTAGTATCCCCAGGGGGCTCGGATCGCTGCCTGTAATGACCAAAGTAGGAGCTAGCTCCAGCCCTTTGGGTTTTTTAGCTCTGGAAAGGTGATTGGCAAGGTCCTTCTCCAGCACAGATGAATCATGCTCTCTTGGCTCTGGGGATAGGTGCTGAGGGTTCTGAGACTGCTCCAACTGCTGAGAAGCCACCGATTCGATGTCCGTATCAATGTCCAGGTCATGGTTAGAACTCAAGGGCGGCGAAGGGGGTGTGGAAGGAACCTCCAGAGCAGGCGACATGGAAGATACAGGTGGTGGCGGGGTAAAGGTGGCGGTTAAGTTTGGCAAAGAGGCAGGAGCTTCCGTGGGAGTTAATTTTGGAGGCACTAGAGTCTCCAAGGTTTGGAGAGCTTCTTCCGATTCCACAGGAAGAGTTGAGACAATGGAAGTGGCTGAGGCAGGGGCTGCCAGAGCAGGCCTTTTGGGGGAAATGGTCACAAACTTTATGACCGAGGGCGTCTTCTCCTGATCAGGCTTTTTCTCTGCCAGTTTCTCAGCTGGATTCTCTATCTTGACCGACCTGAAGAGCTTCACGTTGGAGGAGTTCAGAGAGTTCAGAGTAAAAGAAGAATACAGGCCCGAATGGATGTAGTCATTACGGCTGGATGATTTAACACAGGTCTGGGCCTTCTCTTTTACACAGCTTTCTAGATCCTTTGGTGCACTGCTGATTTCTGCCAAGCCAGCCATCATCGGGTCTCCCTCCACCCTGCTCATCACCAGTGGGGCAATATTCAAAACCTCCGGATAAGAAACAAACTTGTACACAAACTTCTGACCATTCACCTTTTTGATGATGTTCTGTGGGTAGAGAAAATAATTTTTCCATCATTTCCCCTGCTAACTTTCTTGCTACAGAGGCTCCCCAAAACTGACTGAAGTGTAGATGGCACCTTTTCTTCGGTAGGAAAAAAGTGTTCACTTCTATGAGCATTAGGATGCCAACAACCTAAAAAGTATTCAAAACTATTCTTTCTATAAAACAAGGTGCCCTATAGCACCTTAAAGACTAACAGATTTATCTGGGCATAAACTTTTGTGGGTCAAAACCATGTAGATACAACTGACAAAGCGGTTTTGACCCATGAAAGCTTTTGCCCAGATAAATCTGTTAGCCTTTAAGGTGCCATAGGATTCCTTGTTGTTTTTAGAGATTCAGATGAACACAGCAACCCCTCAGACTTATTTCTAAAACATCCCAACCACACCACAAAGATAACTTCACTTGAAATGCATTACTAGCAATGATCGTAAAGCTACTAGGCATTTTTTTTAGACTTATATTTTTAAAAAAACCCACAACCAGCAACAACAAATTGACGCTGATACTGTCACCAGCATCAAGGTCAAAAGCAATAAGCCAAGTACACAACAGGTAATCACTAACTCAGGCTCCAATCCTACAAATGTGCATCTTAACTGATGGCAGTAAACCTAGTCACATGCAGAAATGTTTGCAAGATCAAGGCCTGAGTATTCCAAACAGACCATGCTCATGTTAACAAGATGTTATAATAATAGGGGGGGGGGGGGGAAAGAGGCAAGATGAAGTATTCAGCAGCAAAACCATGCATCTAAGCAGCGCCTGTTAATGCTTATTTTTGTATGCACTGAGAAAAATATACAAACATTTTTGGTCTAAATTGATTCTTATTTATCATACAGCTACCTACTTAGATTTTGTTAATAGAAGAAAAGATTAAGGAAGTTGTACAGTTCTGACAACAATAAACTCTAAGGAACTAACAACTCAGAAACTATATGTCATTTTCTTATCTTCAACACCCACATAACAACAGTTGTGGGATAAACCACTTATTGAGAGGTTATTGAAATGAAGGTCACTGTCCCTGTTTCTGATTGTAATTGAGCTCCTTCAAGTCTTGTGATATGGGTGGCATCAAAGCATCTGCAACTTTCAAAAGGTAACAAATAAAATCACAAGTTAAACAAGAGACACTTCTCTGAATTTTACTCATTCTCCACGGTAGAGGTGCGGATTTATACTTTGAGTACAAGAAGAAGAAGAAAAAAAAAAGATTTTGGGCTACTCTGGAAACCTGTTTTTCTACCAGCCACTCTATAGAAACAGTTGCAGGAAAGGTCTGAAGTAAATACAGGGACACGAAATTCTCACCGTTATTAGCAAGATTTAAATTTGTTTTGAAGAATTCAAGACTTTAAACCTTTGCAAAGTATACACCTGCTTTTGTGGACTCTGAATAAGGGAGTACGTGAGACGAGACAAGCCAGCTGAAGAGGTGACATTTTGCAGGAAGCTCTCTGGAATCTCTGAACAATTAAAACAGTAATACGGTTGGGGAAGGGGCATTATTTGTGTCTCTGGCATAGGTGAGGTGCGACAAACTGACATCTATCTCCTTGAAGAGAATGAAAAAGGAAACAAAGCTCATGGGGCAGAAGCTGAGTGCAAGACACATAAGATTGGAGGTGGATTCCTGGGTGTTGTTACCTTCACATAGTAGTATCTGAGAGCTCGACTGAGTTTGTCATAGTTCATGCTGGGCTTGTTCTTGCGGATTCCCCACAGCCGGGCCACCTCCTCTGCCTGCAGCAATTTGAACTCCCCGTCGTTGGAGGTCCAACAGATGATATTCTTGTTCTGGGGCTCCTGGAGAAGTTGAAGGAGGAACTGCCACAAGGTGATCGTACTGTCCATAGCAGTGAGCTGAAATGCAAAAGAGTAGAAATCCGATTGACAAGGGGCTGTGAATGGTACCATTTCCTGCATCTCACCAGGACAGAGAGAGGGTGGGATGTTATTTCCACAAGCAGCAGGAGTCAAAAATGATCAGTCACCAGATGTGGAAGACATTCCCTGCAGAAGGACAGCCTAGCAGCCATCTGCACTGTCTCCTCCCACAACCCAGCCTTTCCTACAAGATCTATATTTAGCCCTGTTTAACTAAATCAGCTCACTTTGGGAAAGTCACGCTGAGTCATTAGCAAAAACGGATTTCTCAGATACTCAGTGCTCACCCACTTCTGGCCTGGGTCACCTCATGAAAACCTGTGCGGGTGCAGCAGTACAAAGGAGCTCCTTCTCCCCTCTCCAGATCTTTCTTCCAAAGGAAAGAGATGGCTGACCAAGTCCCTCCAAAGCAATTAGGAATTAGACACACAATCACTATGGGGTAGTTCATGTTACCTTGAGCATTCAGAGCCTCTGTTACCTCCCATGCATGGAAAAGTCTCTCCATTAGGGATGTTAGGAGCATGTAATTTGGTAATCGTGTAGCTGACCGAAAAACTGTCGGTTACACGATTAACCGATAAACGACGCTGCATTTAAAGGAGCTTGAGAGCCGGCTGGCAGGCTTGTGCTGGGACTGGCAGCTACCTCTACTGTGGCTTTGCATTTAAAGGATTTAAAGAATTTAAATGCAGAGCTGCAGCGGGGGTAGCTGCCGGGATCCGACGAGAGCCGGGACTAAGCCAGCGTGCCCATGCGTCATCTCCCAAAACACTTTATACAAAGAGCCTTTGGGGAGAGGGGGCAGGGAGGGAAGAGTTGTGTGGGTCCAATAGCATTAGCAAGCTATGCTATTACATCCCTACTCTCCATGCCCATGCACTGGTCCCTATTCTCGCCTCACTCAAATCCCACAAATTAGCTCTTCCCCAACTTTTAGAGGGAGGAAGAAAACAGGGAAAAAATAAACATGCAACTAACACCTTCCTCAAGGCCCCCACTGCATCTGGTCCTATCTGTGCCTTTTACAGTGCAAACTCTTAGGACTAGAGTTGTCAGTTACGTCTAGTGTGGCTCTGAACAGATCACTGGCACTTCAGTCATGATTGTAGAAGCATACGGTCAATAGATGATACAACAGCTATTTGACAGACACTTTCCTGGTATATTTGTTTATACAAGGTAATATAATAGAGGTTGAATGTCTCTAGTCCGGCACTCCCTGGTCCGACAACATCTGTGGCCCAGCATGATTTTAGTTAGCCGGATGTTCACTTAGCATGATAAGGACAAGTTTCCCACAGTCCCATAAAGTTTGTTTACAGCCACCAATCCTGGCTCTCAGTGTTCTGTGCTGTTATTTAGCTCTAATTTACCCCTAAATGTCTTCTCAGGGCCCAGTAAGCAGTGGAAGTGTTGGTAATGCTGCTAGACAATATTGACCTCCCCGTCAGGTCCCGAGGGTGCCAGACTAGAGAGTTTCAACCTGTACAAGGTAATACAAGAGATGAGTTGCCCTGTAGCTGCAGTTAATCCATCTCCTTAGGAGGTGGTAGTTATCTGGATGGATGAATGCTTCCAAGCAATGTCTACACTGGGATTAGCTCACCTTAACTTCATTTCTCAGGGATGTGGTAAAATTAATCTTCCTTTTTTCTATGTATAGATGTGAATTTAAGCCGACACAGTTACAGAGGTATAACGCCCTGAGTAAAGTCTCTTATTCCAGCATAGGAGAGGATTTTTTTTCCTGCTTCTCACACGCTGCTTTGGAAGAAGTTTAAATAAAACAAAAAAAGATATGCCCTAATAAATCTGTTAGTCTCTAAAGTACCAGAGGACTCATTGGTTTTTTGGCAGAGACGGACACAGCTATCTCTCTGCGACGTGTCAAAAAGATATTCTTATTCCAGAATAGAGAGTCATAGTTATACTGGGATATCAGGAGTAACTGCTAGTATTTTCCCATGTAGACAAGCCATTGTACAGGCAAACTTAGGGGTACAGCTGTGTATCCAAGCAAATGAATCAGACAACTGATAAATTATCATTCATGTGTTGGCATTGTTTTCCAAGTGGTTTTCGAGCAAGGTGAAACTGTGCGTGGATTCTCCAAGGTGCAGGTTTATGAGCACTGATGGGTAAGTTTATTATTCTGTTGGGACTGCCAGTTGAATAAAAGGCTTTGGTAATGATTTATCACCTAGCACATGCCCACCAACAGGCCAGAAGACAGCTCCTTCCTACTGAAGAGAGCAGGCAGTCTACAAGTCAAGTCAGTCTTGTAACTGGATTACTGCTGACAGTTTACACAGGGCAAAACATTCCTACTTAAATTAGGTGCCTCAGGGCAGGTACTTCTTTGGGCAGGTCCTAATTCAGTTAATCTATTTTTGAAACGTACCTGCGGAAAGAAATACTTTCTCGTCCTCTCCCAGAATGACTAAAAGAGAGAGCGTGCAAATCGAGTACTGAGAAAAGAAAGTTAATTTCTAACACTCAAAGAAAAAAAATAATACAGGGAGACAAAACAGAAAGTGAGAAAGCACTGCAGAAATGAATGAAGATAAAGGAGATGTGTTAGCCAGATGTTGTACCCCTTTGGACAATACACTGGAAAGAGAAGCAGGAGTTACTGGCTTATCAACATGTAATTAGGTGAATCAGGCAGATATTTGATTTGCACAGTTCTTTAAAAATAATATCCAATTATCCCTAATCCTTACATATAAATACTTCAGGGAAATTGATTCTCCTTCATTACTGCTCTTCATGTTTTATCTCATGTACAAGTTTATTCATTTTATATAGAACAAAGGACAGACCTCGGTGCCTATTCTATGTGGGACTATCTCCATGCTAGTCCTTAAGGCCAGTGTCTAGCTACTCTCACCTCCGTCTCCATATTATTATAGTAGCTGAGCATCTCCAAATATCTATTATTATGATTCATTATTTGAATCACTAACATCTAGGAGTTCTAGTTGTAGACAAGGACCTCATTATGCCAGGTATTGTACAGATACAGAACAAAAAGACAGTCCCTTGCTCACTAGATTTACAACCTAAGTAAAGTATCAGAGGCGTAGCCATGTTAGTCTGGATCTGCAAAAGCGGCAAGGAGTCCTGTGGCACCTTCTAGACTAACCAATATATTGGCGCATAAGCTTTCGTGGGCAAAGACCCACTTCGTCAGAAGCATGTAGTGGAAATATTTCCACTACATGCATCTGACAAAGTGGGTCTTTGCCCACGAAAGCTTATAACCTAAGTAAACTTTATTGAAATGCAAAATGTACCAGAGAAACAACTAGACTTCTTCTGCCCGCATCAGCTAAGTGCTCTGATGGCCAGCCACGACTCAACATTTTACATTTGCCAGTAAAAGCCTGTTTACAATAAAAAGTGAGGTAAGCAATTCACTGTAGATATTAACTTAAACTGGAGACCTGGATTCCCACACTCCCAATGAATACCCTGAACAAAACAAAACACCTTGTTAGTTCCCAGGGAAAAACCATCACGTAACTATTTCACTCCGTAAATGTTGAAATCCAGAAGCCAAAAAAAGAATTCAAAAATCCAGCCTTATTAGCTCTCCAGCTTCCACTGAACCCTGGGTTTCATACCAGACAGAACATCATGCCTGTTCTGACAGAGAAACTATGGCCAGCAAGGCCAGAAGCATCTCTGAAGGCACAGCTGGAAATCTTCTTATGATAAGAGCTTGCATATAAATTTCCACCTTTCATGTTTTATTATTTGACAATTACGTCTGCTTCAAATTCACATCGGTCATGTGCCTCCCAGTCCATGTCTCAAAATTAAGGTGCAATTTTACACCACAGGTTTTTAGAAGTAGAGGTGAAATATGCACACCCTCCCCAGGAGCTAGTACATTCGCAATCAGCTAAATAAATATTTTACTGCCTTTTATGCCTTATGTATGTCCATGGGAAAGTCTTTTGTTTCTCATCTGTAGGAACATGAGCCATTGGTAACAATTTCAAAAATGGGTTTGCCTAGCCACCCAGAAATTGAAAACTAAGAGGCTGCTACAGCAGATGGACCAACATTCTCTTAGTCACACTTCATGTAATGATGTTGGAAAAAAGATCTTCCATGCTTCTTGCAAGGTTGTGGCAAGCAGTTTTGTCCTGTCTACACTAGCATTTGAAACATTTCAGTTCTTGTTCAGAGGTCACAAGCAGGGAGGACTCCTGTGATCAAAAATCATTTTCCATGCATTTCCTCCAGTTGTTGCGATCATTATGATCAGCCAGTTTTCTTGGCTGGAGATGTCATCATTCCCCCATGAAATGAGTTGTGTGGTCATGGGACCCAACCTTCATAGCTTGTTTCACCATGATTGCAACCCTGAATTTCCATAATTACCCTCAGCCCCCAAGGATATGCTAGACTTAAAGGGAGACATCCCAGGAGTCATTCAAAGTAGAAAACATTAGGAACTAAATGCTTTTATCTGGTTTTCCTAATTTTTTTGTTTCCAGGATGCATTATAAAGCCTCTCAGTCTCAGGACACTCCGCTGTCAGTAAGCTATACTTGTTTTCTTCTGGTCTGCGGGCCCAAAGAGGGAAAAGTGTTTATTACCTGCATATGAAATGAGCTGTGATACACACATCTGTTGAAAATAAAAACATCCTTTGCATATGACTGAATGGGCAATTCTCTGTAGCATGCTGTTGAATAATCCCCAAACAAAAAAGTTAAATGTTTGTCTGTTGACCCTAACTTTATTATGAAAAAGAAGTCTCATTTAGGGTGGAAAAGGGTTCCTTTAATAATGTTTATAGTACACTTAGCCCGGTTGCTACGGCAACAGGACAACTATTCTCTACAAACAGGAGCTAAGACCCTAAAAATAAACAGGCTGACAAAAATCGTGAACTCACAGTTCAGTCAGGGAGTGTCAACTTGTTATATGGATCGCATTTGTTTTGAATGTATTAGAAA